GATTAGCAGGGTAGGAACAAACAGAATTTTTTACTTACTTTTGGCAATGCTACAGTCATAAGAGCTGTGGTCTTCAAAGCACTGGCAGCCCAGTTCAGTACATTGTCCATTGCCGTTACAGAAAGCAGGACACCGGAGAACGGTGAGGATTTCCTCCTGGCTAGCAGATGGCTGGTTTCCTAAATGAAACACTCTATTTCTGTTTCCTAGCACTCTTCTTTCACATTCGTTTTCCAACAGGGCTACCAGTGCCCTCACCCAGGCCACGTCATCCTTGAGCTGCAGATCTAAAAGGCATATATCAATTACCTCATCCATCTGTTTTCCAAGGAGATCTTTACACGCTAAGCCAATGGTGGAATTTGCAAGAATTTGGTGGCAAATCTCCCGAGCTTTGGCAGCGGTTAGGCCATTGGGAGTGGGCCATGACAGTGGAAGTTTTGTCCGAATCCCTTCAAAGTAATCCTCTGGGAAAAAATATGCAAAGCTCTCTGAGTCTCTCTGGTTTGGGCCATGCAATGAGCGAAAGGATGAATATTCATAATAATCTCCTTGTCTTTTTGCTCTCCTTGGGTCTTCTGTTGTTTTGGTAGAGTTAATGGAACTGTTGTTTTTCATGGAAACGTGTGCGAGGCGTTTTAATCGGTCCTCAGGGCTACCTCGTTTTTGGACTGATTTAGTCAGGTATCTGTGATCAAAAGACTTGGCCGGCAGTTTCCCATCTTTTCTTAAAGACGACTCTGTTTCTGAGAGAGGGACAAACTCTGACGTAACATCTAGGTACGGGATAGCAGAGGTGTAATCCACATGATCATAATGGCAACCAGAAGATTGAGGTAAAGGAGCCTGGAGCATGTTTATCATGGACACAGACCTATTGCTTTCCTTCTGACATCTGCAGTAGTTTTTCCTCTGTTTCCCCTCAGAAGGTGCTGGAGTCTTGTCAAATAAACTCTTCCCTGGAGGTAATCTGATTTAAAAATAGAGAGAGATTAGAGGGAGGAAATTTTCTTTCCCTGAGACTGGACAGTGCATAAATTCCCAATCTACCAAAGTACTTAAGAAAATGCTTGAGTTTAATCTCTGTTTTCTTTAGCTGCTTTTGCACTGCCCTTCTTGAGTTGTCTTGTACATTTTTTAGCACTACATTGAGACATTTTAGTAACAGATGCTTAAGTGCTTTGCTGGAGTGTTGCCTAACTGCTTGACTTCTTGCAGGACTTTCTCTAAGGTGCAGGTTACCCTTTGCATATTACATATGAAATAAGGCCTTGGATTAGTTCCTCGTGTGACTCAGATACAGCCTGGAGAATGACACAAAAGACATACTTATTTCAAATGCTTTATTACAAAAATCCTCTTTATCTATTTGCTTGTGCTCTCCTTACCAGGTGTTTCCTCTAAGACTTGGATCACTAGTTTTTTTCTTTTAAATGTTTTTCCTTTTTTTTTTTTTTTCATACATGCTTCATTTCATTCTTGTCTTCTAGTGGAGCTTTCTTTTAGATTTTTTTATATAAAAGTTTTCTGTTGATCATAGGGCTAGACTATCACACAAGGTAAGGTGATTTCTTTTCCCTTTCTAATTTAGTCCAGCTTTAATGATAGATGTTCTCAAACTGAATGTCTAGGGAGTTCAGTTTGAATAAACAGCCATGATTAAAGTTTCTTTGGAAATTTCATGAGCACAAGATCTCTTATTGATCTTATTTGTGCAGCACAAGAGGAATCCTGGAGCTTCATAGAAGAAGATATATTTCTTTTCCCAATAGTTCGCAGCACTTTATTTCCATACAAATTTGAAATATCACCAAAAGTTTAAAATATTTTGGCATTGATTTTGTCTTGCAGACAGAATGTAGAAATTTTAGGAAAGTGAAAGCATTTGCCAACATTTTGGAGCCAGAAGCTAGATTCTGTTGTAAGAAGCGTAATTGTTTTTATCCTATTTTTCCAATATATATTGAAAATGGCATTTATGATATTGTTATTTTGATCATTGATACAATACTACTTTTAAATAAAACATCACGGTGGCACAGGCAAAGTGAGCCAATTTCTCTTTCTGAAACAGGAGCCCAGACATTTATAAAACCGTGTTTCCTAATGTGCAGGCTCAGCAGAATACACTGGGATACGACAGGACAGCTTCTGTGCTCACAGAAATGCACAAGCTATTCTGTGCTTTCCTACAGTCTAGGACAATAAAACACATTTACTGATTGAGGAAGCACGGAAACAACTTGTAGACCTTTGGACAATGCAACTTCGGCATTCGAGTGGGCAGCCTGCGCGCGCTCTTCCCCCGCTTCTGCTCGGTGGTGTTACCTGCAGCTGAAGCTGTCCAGACTCGTGTCATGAACTAAACGTAAACCTCAACTAAGGCAGCAGAACTCTCTCTTTCTTTGAGAGAACACTCCTAAACTAGAGGATTTAGGTAAATATTGCATATTTAAATAAATAATAAAAATCACATTAACTGGTCCAGGATTGGCACAGAAACTTAAAGCACCAATGAAAATTTCAGTAAAATGAAATTCTTTTACCTTGATATTTTATTGAAATAAATTCCTTTGCTGTTCCTACGTGAACTCAAATACCTTGCTTTGGTCAGCTCTGGTCAGCAGGACAGGGATGTATGATGTAGAAAGGCTGGAAGCACTGGAAACCCCATCCTTCCTCACAGGTGTGCAGATACTGATAGCACCTCAGTCAGCTAGGATGTGCCTTCTGTCCCCTGCATAAGATGACTAGACCATCATTCCTCTTAGCTGCCTGTTATAATCAAGGAAGAACTAAAGACAAGTTTGTCTAACTGAGTTGGATGCTATTATAGTGAACAAGCCCTACATTAATAGCATTGTCGCTGGTTTCTCAAAAGATTTGAAAAATGGTTTGAAAAATTTATTTTACCTACCTAAAATACATGTTTTAAAATTCAGCTCTTCCTTCTCCAGATGCTATTTAAGGTCTGGGAGGCTTTGATGTCGTTTTATTGTTTAAAAGTTTCATTGGAAAGCTGATGTTTAAAATAGATCTGTGCTGTTCAGAGCCCTGCAGCTGCTTGAGGGAGGTGGGAGCCAGGGAAGGAGCCGAGCTGCCAGATGGTGAGCACTCAGACTGGCTTCAGGTGCTGAAGGAAACCTCACATGCTTTCAGTGTTATTTAAAAGGAAATTAAAAACAGCAGCAGAAAAATCACTCTCCAGGTTCTGGTTTTTACTGTGCCATTTGTCTGTGGGTGGATCAGAGACCGATCCAGTCTCCTCTGGAGGTGGCCTTAGTCTTTCCATTGGCTTAGTTGTTTTTTAAACCAGATTCTGAAAGGTTCTTGAGAGTCCATCCTTGGGAGTACTGCAAGGTGAAACTCATTACCCCTCTTATCTTTCTCACTTAGCAGGAGCGTCTCCTTTTCCTGAAGTATCTATCTCCATCGTAAGTGCTGAGTGCTAGAAAACTCCTCAATGTTTCATAAGTAAATTCCTATATATTGTGCTTTGGCTTCTGATCTTTTACCATACTTGCTTTGAACAGGTCCTCCTAAGAATCTTATTAGTTGGTCAGTTCTAGCACCAAACTGTTTCTCCATTTACCTTTCCAGAAGCAAACTCTGACTGATTATCATGTTATTAAGATGTTAAAGATGGCTGTTGAATTATAAATAGTAAAATTTGTAATGACAGGACAAAATTGCCATTAAATAGCCATTATTTAGGCCTGTTGAATATAACTAGAACATGGCACAGTTGGTTTTGTTTTTATTATTTTACGAAATGCAATAGGTCTAAAATTTATTATTCTTACAGGATTGTGCTAAATTCCCATGTATAGATTAAGTGATACGTTAAGGTGGTTACCTTATTTTTCCTTATTTGCAAAGCATATTTCACAAACAAAACTACACAGTCAACCAAATCCATTTTGGTTTTGGGAACCCCTATTAAGCATGTTTAGAGTTCAGCAACAGGAATTAAATGTGGGAGAGGGAGAGGAAGAGGGAGAGGCAGAAGGATATGTCAGAGGGCCAGGCTCCTGGCTTTGGTTCCAGACCATCTGTCCCAGAAAGTGCAAGTTTTCAGAGCTCACTGCCATCATTAGTAATGTAGATATTAAGTTTTAGCATGGTACATATATAACCACACTTTGTCAAAACGTAACATTTAATCTATACTCACGTATTGTAATTAGTGTTCGGGAATAAAAGAACAAGGGAAATATCAAACCCTTAATTAATCCCTATTGTCAGTTATCTACATTTTCCAGTGTGGGTGAGAACCGCATTTTTTTTAACAGCTGAGTGGGGTCTTAACACAGCTGTTAACATGACATCACTTGTGAATATAAAACTTCTTTCTCAGTAATTCCTTGTGTGTATTGTGCTGACTGAAAACTAAGCCCCCGTGCTGTTGGGATGGTAACAGGTCTCCAGGCTTCCCTCACTAGATTAAGTAGATCTCTCCGTCAGGTCATTAGGGGAGTATGTAATTAAATAAACCTATCAACACCCCTTGAAAGAGTGCTACAGAGCATCTCGCGGTCCGGCATCCTCTCTCACTTTGTACCTCCACTCCTCTATGAAGTCTTCCTCGGGCACATTGCTCAGGTCGTTGTGACCGATCCCGTCAAAGAGGCCACACAAACCTCTGGTGCTGTTGAAGTCGCTGCTCGGGACCCTCACGGTCAAACCCATTCCCCACTCGCTCACGTCGGCTCGCACAAACGCTCCCGAAGGGAACAGGATCTGAAGAGGCAGAAAAAATCCCAGTGAACTGAAGCTGTTACCAAGCCTTTTACATAATAAAAAATGTCCCTTTCTATAAATGAAAATATCAAAGTAGGACGTTGGTGATGGCAGAGGTAATTTCAGATCACTTAGATGCACTATAAATATTTATTCATGCTATTATTTAGCTGCTTTCAGATTCTATGGTACTAATATCTGATAGCATTACATAAATATGAAACTGCACAAGTACTTTCTTTTTAAATTAATAATTGCATCCATTGAAGTTTTCCCACTGGTAAGTTACTAGTTAATTTTTGAAGTGGCTTCCATGACAATAAGGCCACCCTTGTGTCTTTGCCTGGGAAATAATTTCTTTTAGATAAACTGCCAAGTCTGAAAAACAGCTTTCTTCCCTCTGAAAAATCGTTTCATTTTCCAAGGCTGGATTACCCAGAAAATGATTGTGTTTTAAAGTGGATAAAGCAATTTTCTCATTAAAGAACTTGTGGTAAGCTTGCACTGACCTTTAAAGGAAAAAAATCTTGAGGTTAAGACAAAGAAGTAACTGTGTAGATAATGGATTTTTCAGATTGGTGTCTCAGCCAAATAATAATAATAAAAAAAACCTCTGTTCAACTGAAATGTATTTTTGTTTGTTTCCTTTATTTTACAGGTAAAAAAAATATTTTGAAATGGATCTGTGCCAGGAGTGGGAGCAGGAGCACTCTATCCTGGTAAGTAACATTTTTTAAAAAAAATCCAAAATTAAATTTTGTCAGTTAAAATAAAAAAAAGTACATTACATCGTTGGAAACATCTCATTACAATACTTTCAAAATAATTGTTCTCCTATTTTTCAGTCATGCCTGCTGAAGTATAATTTATTCGGCCAAATAACGTGCATTGCTTTTCTTTCTTTTGGTGGGGATTAATCTCTTGTAAGCTCCTCCCTGCCAAATCTATCCGTATCTGTGAAGAAACAACTAGTTTATATTTGCATTTCTGTGCTGGAATTCAGAGTTTACATTTTGGCTGCACTACATAATAATCTTCCCTGGTTTGGTTTCCCAGTCATCATTTAAGGCATGAGAATAAATTTCTGAGCATCTCTCCGTGAGTGATCTCCTCGTCCAGCTGAGCAGAGTAGGAAAGTGCCACTGATTGCGATAACAGCCCGAGACACCGTTTTGAACTCAAGCCCTCTGTGTTTTGATGAGGGCATTTAAAGCCGCCCTTTTAGAAAAAAATTATTTGCCTTGGTGAATAATGGAAGTCATCGTATAAAATCAGTTCTTTGAATACGTCAGAAGATCTTGGCTAAAACTCCAGCTTGGTTGTACGTCTCGCTTCCCAAGGTAAGTTTTGAAAAAAAGAAAGATTCCCTGACATAAAGCTTCAATGGCCCGATGAGTTAATTTTTTCTTAGTTGTTTAATAGCTAGAGCAGGAGAACTGCAGTTGACACAGTGCTGGGTAGGGTTTGATTTCCTTCTTTAGCTGAACATATGACCTCTAATTGCATGCTTTACTACAGGGAGGAGCATTTCCTACAAGGCTGCGTATAAAATCCTTGCAGTCAGGACTGCATGAGTTGCTTCAGTCTTCAGTGCTGTCTGGATTAATATTTCCAGGTGTGGATTTATTTCAGGAATTCGGAGGCCTGTAACCCTTTCTTCTCTTGCTGCCCCAAGCAAAGCATCCCATCGGCCACTGAGGACCTAACATCTGCCCGGGTTTTCTGTAACCCACCTGCTGACTGAGGCTTTGAAGAAGCCTTTTCTGAGACCTCAGTTTGCAGAGTTATATAGTATGTATAGCATATATACTGGCTGCTGGAAGCTGCTACCTTGTGCAGAAAAGAGTGACTTAACCTCACTCAAAGCATCAGCCTCAAATGATGGAGGAGCCGTGAGGGATCCGGCTCCTGCGCTGCACGAGGCTGGCGATGGGCAACTGCTGAGAAAACTGGGATGCGCCCTGCACAGCGACCTGATAGGGGACTGTGCTCATTGCTGCACGATTCCTACAGATTCTCATTCAGATCAGGGCAGGATTCATATTCGTGTCCCAGGGGTGTCCTGATTTCTTTCACTGAGACTTGCACGAGGTGTAAATGAGAACAGGGATTCCTTGCTAAGATTATTCTAGTAATAAAACAGTAATTATATCGCATTCAGTTGCAAAATGAAATGACAGCTTGCTTCCTGCTTTTTCTCTGTTCTATAATTAAGAGACTTTCAATTACTACCTGACTAAGATCTATTCCAAGGGAGATCAGAAGGAAAGCCACGCACAGGAGCTCCCTGCATCATTCTGGCTATATTGTGGACCCATCTTCACCCGAAACATTTCCTGGCAATGTATCTTGATGATACAACTCTAGGACAAAATTATCTTCTTGGCCGTAATTTGTGGCTCATCTCCTCACCAAAGCCCCTGGTGCAGCCTGCTCTTATTCTTCCAGTGACTTCACTGGATTAGTGTGGATAAGTGATACTCATGCAAAGTATGTTGCGGCCATATATTTTTTAGGCAAATACTTTGAATTATACCAAATGTTGCACATTTGCAGCCCATTTTCACGGCGTTTGGGGGCTATCTGGATCTGACTAATATTGCCTCACTGTTCCACTCTAAAACTACATAATTCTGCTACCTGTGATCTCTCCTTGAATATTTATGTCATAAGCTCTGCGAAGAAATTTGCTTTATGTGATGCGGTTGGCTAGTGCCTAGCATAAACAAACGGAGAGCAGATTGCCGTACTGCGGAGAGTAAGTAACAATATTGGCGCTCTGCTATGTCTCCGAGAAATTTCCAGAGATATTTGTTTTGTTTTGTTTTACAGTTTGTTAAACCAACACTTTAACCAGTTTCTTCCCCGCATCTCGTTTTTCGGTACGTTTTGCTGCAGGCGCTCTTATGGCTTCAGATAGATATTTTTGCAGCAGCTTCATTAATAATTCAGAAATGTTAAACTCACACTTTCAAAGAACAACAACAACAAGAGTACTCAAATATCCACGTACTGTTATTTTTCTCCCCCCGTAGGACTTTAGGATTTTGACGCGCGGCGATGCCTCAGTGCTTCTGACGGTTAGTCGGGGTCGGCTCTCCCGAAAGTGGCCGTTGCAGGTGTCCAGCACCGCG